GTACTGCATGAAGGGGCCTGCAGCTTAAATTGTTTTTAAGGAGCCATATGGAGTGTTCGCTTATCCCATGACCCTGTACCTTCGTCCCCGCGCATGTTCAGACGGGGAAAGCACTTTGCTTCGACAACTAGGAGCCTGTTAGCCCTGCCCATGTCCAGGATACACTCGCATGCGCGTGGCCACTAACGGTCGATAAGGAATAAGCCTCTTAAGCAACTACGAAGTTACCTAGTGCTTTCAAAGCGCGTTTTTACTTCATGATGCAATCGGGCGAGCGACCTGATCGCAAACTATGACCGCGCTTTAATTCAAGCATGTTTAAGTAGTCTGTCCACGGGAAGCGATAGGGATGTGGATGGGACAATCTGGTATTTTCGTGGGCGTATGTGGGCTTGAACAGCTGAAGGCACGATGGAGTGTGAGCACACCAATTGGGATTCTAAACAGTTACTGAACACTACTTTATCCTTATGGAGGATCAAATTTTCAGCGCAGATCACCTATCTGGGATGGGCCCTGCATTCTACTTCCATTCAGACTAGTGCCCTGGTTAGTTCCTAGGGTGGTGCTATAGTAAGTTTGAATGCCATGGGCCTATAGAATGACTTGCACGGCCAACCTATGTCAGTATTTTTATTATTCCAGCACTGACATGTCTGGCACCTCAACCGTCGGGAGATGAAGGTCCGATTGACCTAAGCGACCGCCGATCTGGGCTCCGACTCCCTCTGTGGGAGTGGGTAAGCGACGCCAATCGCACTACATCATCTCTGCTTTAATAATAACAATAAGGTACTGCATCCTTAACTCACCCTCTTCATCCAGTAAAACAATGTTGTTGGTATCAGTGACTGGCACTCCATGTTTACGTAAATGAACATGAGTATTAGCTCCGACAACGTAGGCCTTCCGCATCTGACCACGAATCGCGACAAGGATCTTAACAAAATTTCTTGTTATCAGTGCCAAGGAAAGTCTTGAAGATGCCCTCACCTTGTCACCAAGAGTCGCATGTGGCAAATGTTTCTTCCGTCGGCCTTGCTTATAAACATCAATGCAATACGCTTGTTTTCCGGACATATGGGCTTCTTTACCGAGAGCTGAGTTGTCTACAACATTAAGGCGTGTTCGCCGATGAATACCCATGCATGGTGGACGTGATCGATGTTTAGACAGCTCGTACCTGAACATATACGTAGCTGTGATAGTGTAATAGAAATAGACAGCTTTAAAGCATTAGTGGGTGCTGGTGTAGCAGGAAACCGCATCCGATTTCCTTTTTCCAGGCCCTGGCAGCCCTGGTACGGATAAATGGCCCCAAGGTAGGTCAACCACGTCCCATGAAGTGCATGGACCTGTTTTCACCCACAGTGGAAGATCTCTTTACACATAGGAATGCATACCTCTGCTACATCTGCCCTCGAAGATTTTAGCCGAAATAAGTTCAGAGACTTCAATGATAGTGTTCAGCTATTTTTATGGCAAAAGCAAAAGGTACTAACTAGTGTTATGTTCACTGAAATGGAGGGACGTGTCGAGTCAT